GAATGATGAATCATTCGACCCCCATTTCCATTTAAGATTTTAGGGATGGTGCCACCCCCGCCTAGGGGGCTGCACATGTTAACGTGATTTTGTGTCCCCCTCGAAAACAAAATCGACGGGTTTGAGCGTTTTTCCAAAAAAAAAAACAGCTGCCAGTTAATGTCCCTGTTTTGTTTTCGATGCGCCACCCTGTATGTATAAGTACATGCATATTTTTTCCTTCTGGTATACGCTATAATGTAAGGGGTATAATGGATTAATTTAAACTTTTTTAAATATTTTAATATTATAATTCTGACCTACCTATTATATATACAGGGTGTTTCAGAATAAAATATCGTAAACTGGGGATTTGTAGATCTTAACTAATTATTAAGAAAAGCTAAATATAGTTTTACTGTAAACGTCCCAGTTTCCATTCTACAGGGTAATTATGAATTTCATAAATACATAATTTTCTAAATATCTTCCCTTACGGTAATTAGTTAATTACCATTATTAGTTAACACACTTTATTTCGATAAAGTACGATAACTCATTAGCGTAGAATCAAGGACTAAGAAAACAATTTTGATCCAAACACTCTATATTTCATAAAAGTTAAGTCCGATTTCATAATGAATATTAAAAGGTCCATTAACTAATGGGACCAACATCTTATGGACTTAATGGTTCCACTTGTTAATAAACCTTTTAATAATGATTATGAAATCGGCTCTTAAAAATTTCCATTCTTGGAATTTTATAATGTACATAGGGCTAAAACTAAAAAATCTCGGAAATGGAATGTTTTACAGAGATCAACCAAGAGTTCTTTTTTTGTGATAAATTACGTGAGGAATAATTATTAATATTAACTTTTATAAAATATAGGGTGTTCAATAAGGTTGGATCGAAATGTTCTAAGCCCTTGATTCTACACCAATGGGTTATCGTAATTTATCGAAATAAAGTGTGTTAACTAATAATGATGATTAACCAACAATTATACATTTTTAAGTTAAAACCTTTACCGTAAGGGAAGTTATTTAGAAAAATATGTATTTATAAAATTCACTTTATCACCCTGTACAATGGAAACTGGGACGTGTAAAGAAATAATTTACAGTCATTCGGTAAAAGTTTGTGGCTTTTTGCTCTGAGCAGTAACGCTATCAGACACTGCTTCCAGGGGTCAGGGGGATTGGAAAGGGTAGCCTCACTACAATACTAATAGGCAGTCCAACGACCTGTCATAGAATAGTTGTTAGTGGAAAGGGTTCCTATATCTAAGGCGGTTGCGACATAGCCTTCCATCTTGGACGCTATTTTTATTCGAAATACTAGTCGCCAATCCTGCCAATTTATGAAAAAAATATAAGCGGTTTTCTAAAAATAATATTTTCATTGTGTTCAGCATTCATGATTTCACCTGTTGTAGATAGAATACATTGTATGTCGCAACCCCTTAGAACTGACAGGTTTTTTGTTTGAAATGCCTAATACACATGCCGAATAAGCCGTTCAGTTTCTTTTTTAATCCGGGGTAGTCATGGAAATTTGACAAATTTCACTTTATAATAATATGAATTAATGTTTTTTCGAGGTTATGTGCTAGACATGTCATTTTATAATTTGAAGCGGCATTTTTATATCTTACATGAAAAAATTTGGGAACTAGAGAAATGTATAATAATTAGTCCATTATAAGTATACCTAAATGTTATTAGATTCGCTGCATTTATTTTTGCCTACTTTTAATTATACATCAATTTATGAAACTATTTAGAATGTTCTAAAGTATAAAATGCTATTGAAGCCATATTAGAAGAGAAAAGATTAGTTATTGAATCTAATTTCAGAGGTATATAGAAAGAATCTCCAGTGTCATAAATAGAAACACAATTAATATATGGTGTAGGTATTTAGATAGCATTGTTATAATACTGTAGTTCTACACATTTCAATTTAAAAGGTACATTGCAAAACCACCCTCTTTATTAATGGATTCGAGAGGCATTTTTCGTCAAAATGAATGATAATTTTGATGATTTATTTTATATCTTAAGGTATACCAATACATATTACTAGACCTTGCCACTGTCAATTTTTGTCTTAGAATAGCAAGTATTCCACTAGAGCTATACAGCTACCAAGCTGAAATAATAGTACCTACTTCAACATTCTTTTTAAGACAATATCTAGATCTAGAAGTACCATAGAAAATTATTTTGGACGGAAAAACGGAATGCAATGAGGCAATATTACATTTTTTGGTAGGACTGTTTGCGAAGAAAAATAACTTTGAGGGTGTCAGTATTACTATACAAAGTGGACGATTAAAAAAAACTAAACGGCTTAGTCATAACTATTGGAAAATATACTATTTATACTAAAATATGAGGGTTGGATCGAACATGTCTCAATAAATGTTGCTCTGGAAAAAGATACACGGTGTAAAAGTTTAAATCTTTTTTTTTTCTGATAATTTCACAACAATTTCATAAATCGTTATCAAAATTGGCAAAGAGGCATACCGTTAGACAAGGAATATTATTTTTATTTTTTACATTTTGTTACAGGGTGGCGCATATGCGATTCTTGATGATGAAAATGAGTCATATCTTTTTTGCAAAACATTTTAGTAATTTAGAGTAGAAAACTTCTTATAAACATAATTTTTCTATGTAAAATTGTTATACTTGTTTAAATTTGATAATTTCAACAGTTTTAGGAGAAAACACGCAATTGAACATTTCAGAGTCTCGGAAAGAGAATTTATACAATATTTCAGAGAAACTCATTACAAACCCCTTGGTTTTTAATTTTGGGGGCATATGAAGTCATTAGTTTTTGACAATGAGGATGTCATGTAGAACATTTACTTTGAGTTTGCTTTTTTATTTTGTTTTTATGTTCATTATTGGCTCTTTCACAGACATAATGATATTAATATTAATATAAATAAAAATTTCATGGTTTATTCAGTCACGTTTTTATTTTCTATCAATTAAACAAGCACTCTACATATGTTTCGGAAAAATTTTTTTCATCTTCAGGTGCAGTCAAAATTTAATAAAACATGGAGGCCATTTACAAACAGTTTAACATTTTTAAAATAACAAAAAACTCATTTTTCTGTTAAGAAAAAGTTCATTGAAAGAGTGTTACAATGAGACTGGGTTATGTGTATCTAAACTCACTATTAAAGTGTGATATGTGAAGAAAACTGAGACATAATAAAGCTATACTGATATAAAGGAGAGAAACAAACACTTCAAACCATTTGTCTAATGCCTGAGCACCACAAGATGTCATACACATTCTCTATGTAAAAGATAGGAATATGCATAAAAGTCTGTGCACAAAAGCCTATCAGAAGAATCGTATGCGCAGTGGTTTATTTTCTTTCACTCTTATGTTAGCACAATTCTAAGTGACAGGCTTATTCTGCTGATCTTTACTTGGATGCAATTGCTCTGACACTCCAACATATTATGTTTCAATAGAATTGGTGCATTGATGGTAGCCTGTAAGCAATGGTTTATTTTGACTCTCAATCAGCGGAATGTACAATAATTGGAATTGAATTTGAAACAAAATATAAAGAAGGTTAATAGATATTATTATAAAAAAAAAGATTACAGGAGGCAGGCAGATAGTCAACAAGAGAAGCAGAAGAACACGAGACGAGTAAAGAGACAAAATAAAAAAATTAATAGGAGTCAACAAAGGATAGCCGAAGTAGAGAGGTAGAGCTGCCGAAGTAGAAGAAAGAAGATACATTTTATTAAAATAATTGTGAGATTTTTAGAAATGGAATCACCTCTTTTGAGAGCTCCGCAACTGTGCCTTGTTCTGCGCCATTTTTTTAATAGGTATACTTACGAAAAGCATGTGTATTTACATATATATTTTTTTAATATGTTTAGAACAACGACTTAAATGACGATGTGCTCATAGTCATACATAATTTAACCATTAAGCTGTAATTTAAAACTTATTCAATAATGTACTTGTATTAATTTTATATTAATATATTTACCGCAGTTAATAACTACCTATATAATTAGTAAGATAGATTCTCAAATAGAAAGAAGGAACGAGTTAATTTTTTTTTATAAATCAAATCATGGCATAAGTTCTATTACGCAAGAAAATCATATTTTTTTGTTAGAATAAAAAATATATTTTGATATGAAAAAATTAATGACGATAGGAATTTTTTTATTTACCAAAATTGTAGGATACTGGGGTGGTTAGATACTTGGAAATAAAAGTACAAGGGAATTTAATAAAATATCATGATATCGGGAAAAATGTTGATTTTGGAAAATGAGTTGAATAGTTATCAAAAGAAAGAGATTTCATTCAAAAAGATAAAAAATTTCATGATGGGAGAGAGACCAGAAACCAGAATACTGAGGAAAGAAAGACTAGACAGAGCAGATAGATTTCAGAGTAAAAGCTTTAAGAGAGAGACCAGAAACCAGAGTAAACAGGAGAGCAAAGTACCGAGTAAAGAAATATATATTAGACAGAGCAGATTGACACAACAGATACCAGTTAGTGACTGAGGGATATCAGGAAAGAATAGAATACAAGAAGAGCATTGGAGCCTAGTAGCAGGAAAGAGAAGATAGAAAAAATAAAATTTTATTAATTTAATTTTACTATTTATATAAGTGTGAATTTTATAAATCGAATCACCCTATTGACAGTCTTCTGCAAGTGATTGATAAAATTGAAAATTCACGTAGATATTTCCATATCAATTTATTATTAAAATAAAATTATGAACCCATCAGTATCGCAAATTATTAATTTTTTTTTAATTACACGTATGGTTACACAATATCAATAAAGTTTATTTTTGAGTACAGATCGACAGAAATAGCTGAAGGTTGAAGTCAATGTCTTATAAGCAGTAAAGATAAATCCGCTTGTTTGAGGCGATCGTTCTCGTGTCTTTAGCTATGCCTGCCGATCTGTAAGTAACTATGACTAAAAAACTGACTTACCTTCGCATGTCTTTTTTTCTCGTCACTCCTGGCGAACTTTCTGCCGCATATATCGCACGAAAATGGTTTTTCTCCTGTATGTGTTCGAATATGCGTCGTTAGGTGATCCGACCTCGAAAAGCTCCTCATACATATCCTGCACTGAAACGGTTTCTGTCCTGTATGTATCCTAATGTGTCTCGTAAGTTCATCTGAACGCGAGAATCTCCTATCACAGTTTTCCACAGGGCACGCGTACGGACGCTCGTGTACGGGCGTCTTACTAGGTCGATTCGGATATTTCCTGGGCTTGACCGGCACCAGTTTGAGCGGTATGGGACTCTGCTGGTAAACCTGGCTCAAAATTTCGTGACCCTTACTTGTAGAAGGGTTGTATTCTGCTAACTGCACATTGTAACCGGGCACCGAACTTTGGCCAAGATCACTACATGATCCACTGAAAGGTTCTTGCTTTGGAATAAGAGAAGATGGACCGGGTATCACTAATGCACTAGAGTTTTGCGCCGAACCATAATCTTGACTTTCCCATTGATACTTTGGGGTACCCATCGGCTGGCTGACCCTCGAATAGACCAGATCACTCTGCATGTCCATAAGATTTGAATTGGCTCCTGAACAACTAGGGTAAGAAGGAGGTTGCTTAAGGGCTAAATTACTACTGCAATCCATACTGAGCATCAATTGTTCTGTTTGTGACCTGTCATCGTATTGGGTACCAGCTGGACTAGGTGTAGCTGATGGATACTGTTGCTGGGGACTCTGAGCAGAGCCTTGCAGTAGACCAAACATTGATGGATACATGGGTTTATCACCGGAGGATAGCAACCACTGATTGACAGCAGAGGGCGAGTGTGCCATCGATTGAGAATTCATACCTAAAGGACTCGCACTCTGCATCTGTATACTTCCAGTTATATTTGGACTACCAGCTGATGTATAAACAACGCTTCTATGCTGCATTTTAGCCATGTTATTACTGGTGTGTGGGTACATACTGAGCGTACTGTGGTTAGTATTTTCTTCTTCTCTCAGACTGGGCGATAACGCGGATTCTTGCGGGGTGTTTCTTTCTGTGATATGACTGCTGGGTGAATGATGAGGACTGGCCGTATGTTGTTGTTCGATTGACAGTTCCTCTGGGTCCAAGGAACCTGCAAACAATGAAAGAAATGTTATCAAAATCGTGGCACACCATCAAGCACGTTAGGTAACTGAGACAAATGGCTGAGCAAGCGCTGATTGTTGGTTTTCATTCATATCTTTTATTATATGAATGGATTTTTATTGTGAATTTGATACTTTTGTAGATAAAGAATTTCTATTCATGGGACGTGTTTGTTGGTCTCATTTGAATTTTTCATTATTTTAACCTACTTTTTACCTGAATAATTTAATATTTTATGAATGAAATATTTAAATTTTGTTTTGTCTGTCGTAAGAAACTGTAAAATTTTTGCATTTAGATAAAAAAATAATAATCAAAGGACAGCATATAAATTTACTAAAAAGACGTACATATATTAAAAAAATCAATAAATTACATATTTTATACTATGCTAATTTGATATTAGAGCGTATTGATAAAATAGAAAAAAAATATTTTTTTTCCAATATTTCTTTAATTTCAGAAATAAATCTGGCGAATATTAAGAGGGTGGTTAATTAACCATTAATTAATTCGAAGTCAAATAATATGAAGAGTCAGGGGGAAGAAAGATTAAGTCAATTTTTGGTCAAAAATAAAATAATAAGTGCAAAATGTAGTTTTGCACCTCTATTTTATTATTCTATACTAAAACGAGGAAATAACATTGAAAGTTACGAATAACGATAGCTTAAAAATAAAGTATACTAGGAAAAAACGATGAATGTCTACGCGTCAGGGGGAGAAACGCTGAAGGTCCACTTTTCCGTTGCGACGCGACCATTTTATATACTGACATTTTTAGTTATTTGAACTTATCGGGAGCGAATTGTTTGGCCACGCGTAGATTAAATATGGAAAGTAAAAATATAATTATGGTACATACACCCCATTTAGTAAGCTATTTTATTTTTATTTTAGATCCCTTGCCGCTTTTGTTAGACAAGTATATATACATACGAAAGCTCTCTAAATTTTGTAGACATGAAGCTCAAAACTACCTAAAAAGCTTGGTACATAAATAATATTATTTTAAAATAACCTTTTCCAATAAATTACTTTAAAACTATAAAATAAGGGGTAATATTGATTAATGTCACTGGCATCTAATATTTTTTTCCTAGTATTTATGGACACTGCTAATAATACAACGTCTATTCAAATATTATAAATAATTTGTCTAAGAATGTATTTTTAATTCTATGACTTTTACATATTTTCTTCCAATAAAACAACGTCTATTTAAATATTATAAATAATTTGTCTAAGAATGTATTTTAATTCTATGACTTTTCAATAAAAAGTTATTCGGTTTCAAACCTAAAACTATATATAAAAAATAATAATAGTTATTTATTATACAAGGGAAAAAAGTATTAGATTTTAGCTCGAGGTTGTGTTGTATCCGACGCGAAGCGGAGGAAAACAAAAAAACCGAGAGCTAAAATCTAATATTTTTTCCGTGTATAATACACTATTTTTTTCTGTGATGGGAAAAAGAACGATTTTATAATTGAAAAAAATATTCTAAAATATCTACCTTTACTTATGTGTATACAGGGTGTCCCGAAATTAGACGGTCATGTTTTAACAGCGTAATCTACATCCTAAAATAGGAGTAAAAGTTTTTATAAACATAGGTCCGAAAACGTTTTGTTTCCGAGATATAGGGTGTTAAAAGTGAAGTCCTGATGACACATTTTTGTAAATATTTTCTAAACTTTTAAAGATAAGTGAAATTTGGTACAAATGCTAAACTTTTTACGCTCTATTTAATGGAACAAACGCCAGTTTTTGATCATCTTCATATGTGGAAAAGTTAGGGGAGGGGTTGATTTTAATTAACATTTTTAACTACAAAATTGGGAAACCAATATTTTCTTTATAATAAAGCTACTTTTGTTGTATCTCGCTAGGACGCATCATTTTTAAGAGAAAAGCATTTGAAAATTTCATGATAAGTTGATGTTATCTTATTCGAAATTAGAAGGCCTGTGGATTCAGAAATTATATTTTTTTAACTTTGGAAAACCGGTTACTAAAGAAATTTTAATAAATATTTACAAAAATGTGCCATCAGGACTTCACTTGTAATACCCTGTATCTCGAAAACGAAACATTTTCGGACCTACAATGTTAATATGAACTTTTACTTCTATTTTAGGATGTAGATTATGCTGTTAAAATATAACCGTCTAATTTCGGGACACCCTGTATATATCCGCGAAAAAAGTACTCTTTTTTCCCGCGAAACGGGTAAAAAGTAATTTCATAAAAATTGATATTTTGTTACCTAACAAGGGAGATAAAATGTCAAACTAAAGATACATTTTTAATTACAAATAGGCACATGTATATAAACGTAAAAATTAAAAGAATGTTCTTTAAATACAACTTGTGCAGTGCATGATTAAAACATACAGGTTAAACATATCTGAACCCCAAAATATTGAACGGTATGTAGCAACATTACATTAAATAAAAAATACATTTATAATAATTACAATATTAGTATTTTTTAGCAGATATTAGGAGAATAAGAATAAGTTTACTATCGGGATGAGTGGCAAAATATTGAATGATATGTAGTAAAATTACATTATATAAAAATAAATTTATAAAAATTAGGAGGTTTGAAATTAAAGAGGTATAAGTACAGTTTTTTAATTATTGATATATTGTGGTCTAAAGTTAAGTGTTGTTTTATAATTCTCGAAGATCAACTACACGACTTCTGGTCGTTAGTGTGAAAGATAAAGGCGTTAGAAAGATATGTGTTGTATGTAAATATTTGAAATTAGTTAAATTAAGTATGTATGAAAGACGCAAAAATATTAGAAGAAATGCGCTTATACTCTTTTAATTTTAGCTTTTTATTAATCTAGAAGAATACAAAATAGAAAAATTTACAAACGAAGGTTATTTTTATTAAAAAAATTTGTCTTATTAATTTTCATAGTCAGATTCAATGACATCATCATCTAGCTCTTTTTATTCGAATGAAGTTGTCACCATTTGGCTCTTTTTCTTCAACTGGAGTTGATGACCCAGGATGCGATGAAGAAGAATCGTTTAAAGGATTTGTATTTTTATGCGCGCCACTAGGAATATTTCATGATATTATGTGTCTCGAGAATATTAAGAGCTTTAAATTTGTTCTTATTTTAACACCCTTTTTTACATGTTAAATGTTGATATATAGATGGCTTTATTTGTTATAAATTCACTTGTATATATTCTTTACCAAATAGAAGAATACTTTAAATTTACAAACCCCTGTATTACAATTCTCGTATTTTTTTTAGTAGATATTAGGAGAATATAAATAAGTTTATACGGGATCAGTGGTACATCCAGAGTTTAAGTTTGGGGGTAGTGGTAATAAAATGTAAGTCCAGAGGGTTCGTGGTAATATTTAAGACTTTATTTTTGATAGTAATACATTGGAGGTAATTACCACCATTACTCTCCACATATATGCACCCTTGATCTAGATAAGCACCTACAATTGGGATAAGGGCCTACAATTGGGATAAGCGTCTAAAATCAGGATAAGCGTCTACAATTGGCATAAGCGTCTACAATCGGGATAAGCGTCTATAATCAGGATAAATATCCACAATCGGGATAAGCGTTTACAAGCAGGATAAGTATGTAGTGTCAGGATAAGCTTCTACAGTCGGGATAATCGTCTTTAGGAAATGTCTGTCAAAAATTAGAATTTATTTAATCAATTGTGCTTATTATTTTAATGATTGTATACTGTTATATGTATAAGAACGTAATGCCTTTATAAAATTAGAAAAGATATATTTCTTTATTTTAGATTTAGTTACTTTGTATGTATTTATCACTTGAAGTTCATTAGGTGACATATTAAATAATTTTGTTCCTAAGTACAATTGCTTTTTATTTCTAACAAGAAATTTTACTTTTTTCATTGCTTATATCTATTTTTATTGATAAGTAGCAATATTTTTTGGCCGTATAACCGTCTAATGCTAATGTCAAAAACTTTAGTTCCTTGGAAAAGGCTCTCTGGAATACGTCTTCTTATTACCATTAATTATTTTTAAAGGCCTTTTTGTATTTTGTTCAGAGAATACAAGTGACAGTCATTTACACCTCCTCATCCTATTATTCCATAAATGATTTGTGGTTGAACTAATGCAAAATACATTGTTTTTTAAATGTAAATATGCAACAAACTTTTCAATAACATGGGTCAATTATTGCAAAATTATTTCTGAATCGTTAAGATGAATACAATTTTTGTTTTAAAACCGATATAAAAAATTAGAAGAATCTTTCTCAAATAAGCGAACAGTCCTTGTTGATCAATAATTAGGCATTTGGGTATCCATTTGCAGACATTTTTCCCGTCTATATTGTCATTATTTAGATTGGCTACGATGTGTAATGAACGCTCAAAAGAAGTGCTAAAATCCTAGATTAATTCATTGGTCCTGAAAATACTGTCTTGTACTTACAAGATCATTATTTTCCGATATTTGAAAGTTACATTTTGGTGGCGTCGCGAAGAATAAATATCCTTCAGTGCATTCACCATATTTACAATTACCACCGAAATATAGGTGCTCACATCTTTTACATAGTTTTATTAAAATATAACATTGGCCAGACAGGAACCCGTGGAAGGAAACACTTCTTATAGACGGCTCCAAAAACCAATAAAGATGCAGGATCTGGGTAATTATTTAGATAAATATGTGATAATGTTTCAGGAAAAATTGTAGTAATACATCATCGCAAGGCAGTTTTATATAGATATATTGGTAGACAGGTTTAAAATAGTTTGCAGAATCCCTAACAGAGTTGTTTAGCTAATATATACCAACATTGGCCTGTGCACCAGCGCGCACAGGACATACAGGTAATGAAGATGCTTTGAATGATCCGTTTCTACAGTCACAACATGCACAAGGCAGGATTAATGAAATAACTAACTAGATTAGAGGCATGTAAAAGTTAGTCAACTAACTATTGGCAACATTAATCAAGAATCTACGTATCCAAAATAGGATAATAATATTAGGCTATGGAGCCTAATGCAAAAAACCAAATTAGACAAAATGCTCTAAACAAATTTGAAGGAATTGGGCGAGACTTCTTCATCAATATTCCTAATCAACATTGATGGAACTAACTGTCAAACATGATAGTCGATGTTACGGTAACTGCTTTCGGTTTTGTTCACAATTATACAAGGCCAACTAGATATCAATACCTCCTCGTAGTGTGGAAGAACCAGTATCCAATGGCTTATTAATGTTTACCGCAGAGATTATGTTACGAGATGAGATTCAGCAAACTAAAGTAATTAAAATTTAATTGTTCATAAATTTTATTAGCCACCATTGTGGTTCCTTCACGTACATTTCTCTTTGGAACCATCCAAATGTAGGTAACGATATATGTATTTATAAATTTATTATTATTATTATTACTACAAAAGCTGTTTTATAACTATATATCCTCTTTAAATTCCAACCGTGCAATATCTCTTTTAGTATCGATTTGTCCTGAATGGACCATGCACTTGACATTATGCGACCGCCATGACAAAGCTCTCCATCATAGTAAAATTTCTTGAATGAAACCCCAACTCTCCTGAATGGTTTGCCGCATTATCGATCCGTCTGAAGCTCAGCCATTGCGACGGCGCTCAGAAATCGATAGTGACTCTAAGGTTAAATATATCTAACAGATGTACACACTTGTTGCCCATGATTCGATCGGAATTTTTTAAAAAAGATATTTTAAATTTCAAATTGATTAACGTAATGTCAATATAGATTTATTCATTTTGTAAAAATATGTAGGTACAAGTGAGTAATTATTGTCCCTTTATAAAACGTACTTATGTGCCACAGGAGTGCAAAATGCAAAAATACGTTTTGGATTTATTTTTAACCTAGCAAAGCAATTTTTATTTTGGTAATTGTAGATTTTGTGTAAGGTAGTAAAAATCTTATAAAAGAACACAGTTCTGATTAAAAATGAACTGAGATAATTCATAGATTAATAATTTTTTGGAAAAAAAATTATATACGAAATTGATTGTAAATAGGGGTAGTTTAAGTGGATGGCATTTTTCTTTATAGCGTATTTTTGTTTTATTGGTGTCTTCGGTTGAGACAACTTAGGTCATTAGCCTCGTGTTCTGTATATGTTATGGAGTGCTAATTCTCCTACACACCTACAGACAGGCCTTGTTACGGTTTCCCAGCGCCACTTTGATTCATTATACAAACAGGTTAGTTAAATTGAATTATTTATTATTCAAACTTATTGATTTAGGATCTCTTTTTGTCCCTTCCTACAAGAATAATAGTGAGAATCTTAAGATGCACCGAGTGGTCGACTGTTTTAATGTTCATTTGGTAACAGACAAAAAAGAAGGAGGTTCTCAATTCGTCGGAATATTTTTTTTCATGTACCTATGTTCAGCAATATTTCTTTATTGCGTAGTTCGATTTCCATGGAGTGGTTCCATGTAAATTTGGTCAAGATACGATGAAGGGATCCATGAGAAAATTACCAAATATTAATATATTAATTATGTGTATAGTTTTATTTTCCATTTGTTTACTTTTTATGTTTTGAATTTAGTCACCATAAACACACTCAGTATTATGAATTAATCATTATAAATAAGCTAAACTAGTTCAAAATATTTTATTTATAACAATTTGTAAAGTTAAGAGCAGTAAACGAGGTTATTAAATTTGAAAATTCACATTCCGAAAAATACAATAAATCAATTTGAAAGTATCAACAATTGTCATCGACCAACTAGATAAAATATATTTTTTATTTATTAATAATGCCCTATTATGTCATTACATAAGTAATAATATAAATTATATACCTAATTACAGGCCAGGTATGAATGATGGGGGAATAATGAAAACAGATTAATAATTTAGGTACCTAGCTGATTTGGAGTTATCCTTTCTTTTAATATAAAATTATTAATTAATGAACAATAATTGTGCACTTAAATTAAATGATTTTAAAAAATTCCAGGGAATTTCTAGATTCATTATCAAGTATGAAATTAAAAATCTTGCCCGTAAAATAAAAAATTTAATTATTTTAGCTTTTTATATCTTATTTTAACGGCTAATAATAAAGATAGTAATACCTAAAAACCTTTTTTTTTAGTTTATTTTAGTAAATTATTTCTCTAATTAAAAATGTTGGTTATAATTTAAAAACATCCAAGGATTGGTCATTTCTAATTGAAAAACTTTTATTATTTTTACTGTTAAGCATATTATTTATACCTAACAAATGAAACTATCATAACTCTTTAAGTTGTAACAGGTACCTATTTAATACTAAAATATTTCTCGACACCTAGGTACTTAAGACAATGAATGAGTAAAATGTAAAAAACTTATTTAATTGCATTTTCTAGAATTCTACACTAAATACCTTCCATAAAAGAAAACTATTAAAGTTGCCTTTAAGTGAGTTTACAAAATAATAGTCGTTAATGACCCATTAAAATAATTATAACCGCAATGTTAGCTATAGTCCTAAACCCATAAAAAAATCCAATGTCTGGTGTGTTAGTTTCACTTATTTTATTTGTTAAGTAACTAGGTAGGTACTAATAAATAAATTGTCAAAAGATAAGCATGGTCAATTCCGGACGTGATCCAAATGTTCCAATACATTCCGTAACACAATATTCTGGTGTTTGTGCGATTTATACTTTAGACATAACACAACGCCGGGAAGTTATTTTCGTCTTGCATACACGTTCGAGGCTCTGCGTCGATGTAAATTTAGCTCACAGCCAACTATCTGCACCTGTTACTTTCCACAAGCATTTTCTCAAAAAAAGAATCTCAAACAATAATAGGTGGTTCCTCTATAATTGTCGCTTTATACAAACGAATGATAGGTAGGCAAATTAAAATTTGAAAAATATTAATGACATAGCTAGAGCTGTACGTCCATATCACCGTGTTTTGGAGACACAAAAATCAATATTAGCAAGAAGTATATTTACATTGGTTAGGTACTTATAAATATTTTTTTCTAGTTTACCCAGATCGGTACTACATTATAAATTTTGATTTAATTATTTCACCGCATTTTGGAGACACCGGTATAGAGATTAAATAATTAAACGAAGTGTCTGTTATTTTTTTTGCGAAAGCAATCTTCAACATTTAGATAGTTTTTCTTTCGCATCAAGAAATGAAGATTTAAAGTTGAAATTAAGAAAAAAAATAAATTTAAATTTTGTATAAGTAGGTACCTAGGTATTTATAGAAAAACGGGAATCTACACGTTTTTAAAGATTGTTGGGAATAACTAGTTAAATAAAATACTAATGGTACCTAATAAAATTAGAATAATTTTTGTTTTGATATTATGCGATTTAATGATTTTCAAATTATTTTATTGATGAAGGCAGATGCATATTCAAGAAATAATGCAGTCAGTGTTTTGGAGTTGTGCAGCTGTAATTTTCCACCAATTTTGTGGAGGACTAACCTGTAATTGGTGGAGGTTCGACGACGGTACTAGGACCGAAGAAAGAAGGGGCGTCGCTAGAGGTAGTAACGGGGGTGTTTAAGTCACCCGGTTGTGCTTCCGACGGCGAAGGGTCCTCGGATGGAGAGCAGATGGAGGCAGGAATGGGGCTACCGCCGCTGTTGCTGCTCGCCCCCGTTTTGTATAAACAAGTGTCAAAGCTGAGAACGTTGAAGTGATGAGCTCCAGCCGCGGCGGCACTTTCCGTCAATAAAAACGCCGATGAATGGTGGTGGTGGTGATGATGATGATGGTGGTGCTGATTAGGCAGCGTGTCTAAAGTGTCCATGATCATTTTGCCACTTTTTGGTTGGTTTTTATGCCACCACAGGCAGATCCGGGCACTGGAAACGCAGCGCAATATAGCGCGCACTAAACGAAATCTTAATAAACTTTTGCCTTGAGTATGTGTTTCGGAACGCGCACCTACCCGCACCGAACTGATCTCGGAAACTGGTCGGTCAACGCGACGAGTTTAGTTTTATGAATGAAGTCACTGTTCCATATTAGGAAGTCGTAAGTAAGGGGTTGGCCAATCGCGGAGAGAGGCAGTGTGATCGCCCCTCCAACGTAACCTCCCCACCGCGTGACGTCGCCGTGACGTAACACTGGCGCTTAGAAGTGCTACAGGGAGCGCGCGGTGTTTTTCATCATTTCAGCATCTAATTGGGGGTTTTGTAGTGTTTTTGAGAATACCACACGACTTGAACACCCGGAACGACCGCCACAGGTTGTATTTTTACGAGAAGGGTTCACTAAACTAGCTAAAATTCCCGTAGGTGCTTCTGCTTTGAAGTTATTTCGGATTTTCGAAACAGATGGATAGGTGTAATTGTTGAGTGGCAATAACTCGGATGACATTTCTTAATTGAAATTTACTGTTGGATCGTAAAACGCATCGAAATGTTTCTTAAAATTTTAAATAAATTAGTTAGATGTGAATTTTATTCAAAAAAACTTCTTCATAGTTTGGAAAGCCACCGTTCAGAAAGAAATAAGTAAATATAATAATTACGTACTTAGCTAAAATAAATTTAAAGTCTTTTTATTAGGTATATTAGACATAGACAGTATGCCTTGGTGGTCTAAAAAATACTAAATAATAATTTTCTTTGCGTATGTTTATAAGGATAATTTCCTGACCGTAGCAGAATTTTATATAAATAAAAACTTCCTAGGTTTAATCCGTCATGTTTTTATTTTCTATCGTTTAGCACATTTGAAAACATTTTTTCCATCTTCGAGTGCAGTCAAAATTTAATAAAACTTTACAAACAATTTAATTTTTTTTTTAAATAACAGAAACCCCATCTTTCTGTTTCAGCATGTGAAAAAGGTGTATTCGAAGTAATGATTTAATTTAACACGATAACGATAAAGTGGGGAAACAAAAGATGAGTTTTTACAAAGTTAAAAATTACCAGTGGCGTTACAGTTAAGGATTAAAAAGAGTTACAATTATTTAATAATATTAAAATAAACGTTTGCCAAATTTTTTATGTCCGTTTATTATTTACAGAGTTGTTATTTTTTAAATATGTATCTCGAGGATTGTTTTTTTGTTGAAATTTGGTTCATTTTCGAAAATTCTTACATTTTCAAAATCGAAAGAGTGCAAATCTTCTAACGCATGTTTAGTTAGGGCAGTGGAATTTTCACTATTTGTTGCGATATTATTTTTATGGTTTTTTACCCTTTTATGTAGATATTGTTTTGTTCGTCCAGTGTAAGTGGAATTACAGTCTTTGCAGTCAATTTTATAGACAACGTTTGGTTGATTTATTTTACTAATTTTGGGTTAAAATTCGAAAATAACATTTTAGTTGTATTGTTAGGTTTATGAGCAATAATATTGCAACTAGTAATAAAAATTCTACTGTCCTAACTAAACATGCGTTAGAAAATTTGCACTCTTTCGATTTTGAAAATGTAAGAATTCTCGAAAATGAACTAAATCTCAATAAAAGATCAATCTTTGAGATGATACATATAAAAAAAATAACAACTCTGTAAATAATAAAACGAACATAAAAGATTCGTCAAACGTTTATTTTAATATTATTAAATAATTGAAAGCTTTTTAATCCTTAACTGTAATGCCGCTGGTCATTTTTAACTTTGTAAAAATTCATCTTCTTGTTTCCCTATTTTATCGTTATCGTGTTAAACTAAATCATTATTTCGAATTATTTTACACGCTGAAACAGAAAGATGGTTTCTGTTATTTTAAAAAAACTGTTTGTAGTCGTCTCCAAGTTTTATTAAATTTTTACTGCACTTCCGAAACATTTGTAGTGCTGTGCTAAACGATAGAAAATACAAACATGACCGATTAAACCTAGGACATTTTTATTTATACGTATTTTTTTTTATTCTCTTATTAGTTTTGTATATATCAATATTGAATGTATAACAGTTGGTAGTTCAGTTAGAACGAAATACCTATGCCTAATACCCATTATTTATGAAAGATTGATGCAATATCATTTTAAAAAACTTTATATCTAAATGATGCATCACCAAAGTCAATCACATTTTACTTCTCACTACATGAGAAAAAACAATAACCAATTAGAACAGTGGGCTTTGAAACATACATATCCCTAATTAGCTGAATTATTTGGTAATGTCAAAATATCTTTTTCAAAATTACTTTTACGAAATAATGAAAACCATTTTTGAAACTCTAAAGTAAAATTTTCTTCAGTAAAAAATTGAAAAAGTTGGAAAGGCAGACAACGTCCTGGGACAGAATTTGTTAAATTTTTCATTAAATTTATTTTCACTTCGGGGATCCAAATAGTATATTGTTTTACGAGTGACGAAAATTATTTTCGACAAGTAAAACACTATACTTTTTCTACGAACTCCATTACGCCACGGATTATAATTAAAAAAAAAAACAAACGTTGGCCAAACATTTATTTACTAGGAGAAGCAACAAAAAAACTACTAGTTCAATATTTAACAGCTGACACTGACAATTCTGAACAATGGGCGTTAAAACTTCAAATAAATTACTGTCACCAGACAACTAGATTGTTTCAAATTTAACACTATTTTCATAATTTTATTTTGTTTTTAATTCAATAAAAGTTAAATAAACGCATTTATGTTTTAGTAAGCATCCTTTTATTTTATTAATATTAATTTATTATGAGACGCCAAAATATTATAGGTACGAGGCGGATAACGTCTATGTGGAGATACCCAACAACTTACATACTTTCGTCACTAGGGACGAAGTTTGGGAATTTTCTTGTAACGGACGTCAAATTTTGGCTAGAATGTTTTTTCGTAAGGAGCCGTAGAAAAAATAGATTTTGAATAATTCGGGAATTTGCAAAGAATTTTTCGGAAAGTATAAATGACAGTTTTTCGGAACTTAAAATACCATTATGTAGGTAATTAAAATTTCCAAACGCCTTAGAATAGAAGCCCAGAAGTTCATTGAATAAAGGAAAAATTATTAACAGAAAAGAAATAAAATACAAATGGCATCTACAGTTATTAATTACACAACAGCTTTTTTGTCTTCGGCAAATCGAATTTTTCGGTAACAAAAAAGCTCGCGAGTAATTCGAAGAGGCAATTTATATAAATACATTAATATAAACAAATAATCTGAAATTAGAATTAGGTATTTAATTAAAATTACAATTATTGTTGAAGGCACAATTGGTATACATTTTTTGTTACTGAAACTGAATGGATTCATTTTGAAATTTGTCTAGTTTATCGATTTATTTGTAGGTACCTATAGGTTTCTTTAAGTCAACGCCACAATACTGAAATGTTTGACCCTGTGCTTTATTCACAGTAATACTGTAAGCCAACTTTACCGGGAATTGTAACCGTTTAAAAGTAAAGGGTAATCCATTGAATGATAATAACCAATATTATTAATTTCGGAACTTTCTAGATCATTCCAGAACTTTTTAGAATTTTCTGGAACGTTCCAGAATGATAATTAATAGACATTTCTATTTAATAGAATATTTAGATGCACATCACTTACATTTAGCTCTTTTAGATCGATTATCATAATACTCATACACATTTCGGACCTTTCTCGATCATTATAGAATTTTTATGAACTTTCTGGAACGTTCCAGAATAATAATAACCGATTTTACACATTTTTGAACTTTCTAGATCATTCCAGTAATTTTTAGAATTTTCTGGATCCTTTCAGAATGATAATAACCGATATTATTAATTTCGGAACTTTCTAGATCATTCGAGAAATTTTTAGAATTTTCTGGATCGTTTCAGAATAATAATAACCGATATTATTAATTTCGGAACTTTCTAGATCATTCCAGAAATTTTTAGAATTTTCTGGATCGTTTCAGAATGATAATAACCAATATTATTAATTTCGGAACTTTCTCTATAATTCCAGAAATTTTTAAAATTTTCTGGAACGTTCCAGAATGATAATAACCAATATTATTAATTTCGGAACTTTCTAGATCATTCCAGAAATTTTTAGAATTTTCTGGAACGTTCCAGAATGAAATTAATAGAAATTTCTATTTAATAGAATATTTAGATGCACATCACTTACATTTAGCTCTTTTAGATCGATTATCATAATACTCATACACATTTCGGACCTTTCTCGATCATTATAGAATTTTTATGAACTTTCTGGAACGTTCCAGAATGATAATAACCGATTTTACACATTTTTGAACTTTCTAGATCATTCCAGAAATTTTTAGAATTTTCTGGATCCTTTCAGAATGATAATAACCGATATTATTAATTTCGGAACTTTCTAACTTTCTAGATCATTCAAGAAATTTTTAGAATTTTCTGGATCGTTTCAGAATAACAATAACCAATATTATTAATTTCGGAACTTTCTAGATCATTCCAGAAATTTTTAGAATTTTCTGGATCGTTTCAGAATGATAATAACCAATATTATTAATTTCGGAACTTTCTAGATAATTCCAGAAATTTTTAGAATTTTCTGGAACGTTCCAGAATGATAATAACGGATAATATTAATTTCGGAACTTTCTAGATCATTCTAAAAATTTTCAGAACTTTCCCGAAGTTCTAATGAGTTATAAAAGGACAGATATATATCTTATCACATTTTTGCCTCCCACAACCACCCATTTCCACCCACCGTGCCCAAACTCCCTTACTTCCTTCTAGGACCCAAGGGGTGTTTACCACCCCAATGGTGATGTTGGAGTTGGAGGTGATAAAGAAAACCGGTCACACACATATTCTACGCTAGCATTTAATATATATATTAAGATTAAGATTTATTGATTAGATGGAGCAGAAAAAAACTAAAAATAAGGTTCTTTAAATATTTAGGTTTTGTTTTTTACAATAAAATATATAGTTTACCATGGAATTTATTGAGAAATTAATATAAAAAAAAATTCAAGTAACCTAGTTGAAAATTTTTTAATATTAATTTCTCAATAAATTTCACGGTGA